TTGAAAAATCTTATTGAACTTGTTTTGATTGATGCAACTAAAGCAATCTATTGACATATCTCACAAAGAATCTATTCATACGACACATACATGTGCACATACTTGAGAAAGGATCTTAGGTCATCTTTGATTTGATTTTGAGCCTTAGCCATTTATTTTACAAAATTCTTTCTCTAGTTAGCCATGCTTGAGCCTTGAATGAATGATTTCTTTCTCAAGAAACCCATATGATAACCGAGCCATAAGAAAATATACTTGAAATACCTTGCTATCTAATTTTCTTACACCCTCTTATCTATTAGTATGATACAGAAAAGCAAGAAAAAGAAAAAAGGCGATAATGGCTATTGGTGAATAAAAGAAAAGTCGGGGAAAACAACTGAAAGTGAAAAAGGACCAGATAAATAGAATATTGCCAAGAAAGTGAAAAATGAGAAAAAAAAATGAAAGAGAGAAATACCATTTTTAGGCAAAATGTCGAAAAGCTAGAAAGAGGTGCGCTACACTACATAAAAAGGGGATAGTTTTTGAATACCATTGACGTCATTTCGTTAGCCACTGACCTCTGGCCACATTACAACCTATAAAAAGCCTTAATTGATCTCAAGTCTGATGCATGTATGTGTTGTCAACCAAAATTTGGGGTATGTTAAATAGTATTTCTTTAATGACATCAATATTTTTCCATGAGATTATGCCAAAGACATAATTAGTCTACTTTCTAAAAACTTTCCTCCTATACTAATTGTGCATGTGATTTTTCAATTGGTCATCCTCTGATCACATGCCCATTGAGAGACAAGTCACTATAATCGGAAAAAAATTTTGCTAAGGGCATTTCTAAGAGAGTTTTGTGAAATCAAAGCCATCCATGGAAGGTGGTAAAGTAGAATGTTTGTTATATAACAATTCTTGTTTCTAGAATGACCCTTCCTACTACACAGGGAATCCCAAATGCCAATGTGACAGATGCTTATTTTAGCATAGAATAAATACCTATGGAAAAGAAATGTGCAGGATATAAGTCGAAATTGAGGATTGGGTAGCTCAACGACCATGATGCTAACTTACTTTAACCAGCAATCCCACATACACATTAGTTTGATTGAAGTTTATGGGTAGTTCACTGAAAATCCTCACGAGACAACACTAGTCCATTAGGGTAAACCTGGTGTTTCAATGACTTGTTACATACGTTAAATGCAATCGAATGACCTACAAAAAAGGCATTAAAAATAGATTTTTCATTCAATTATTGTTGTATTACTAGAGACTAGCAATATTTAGGTTGGAGGTGTGATTAGTAGTTAAAATCAGCATATTACTATGCCTTTTTAAGACTAATTATACTTTGATGAAGTTTAAATGATGACATTTCAAGGCATAAATTGCACAAGGGACCAAACTCAATGAATATCAAACTTTCATGCAACACCAGCATATTCTGAAGTAAAATTATAAAAGCTTGGACCAAGGCAAGAATGTTTGAACGCCAATCCACGTTCGAACGTCCGCTTAAATTATTGAAGATCAGACTATTGAAGTACTATGTATGGCGTGTTGCAGAAAAGAAGAAAAAAAACCATAGTAATACTTTAGTACAACGCTCAAACACCAATCCAAGTTCAAACGTTGTCCTGAATTATTAAAGACTAGGATGATGAGTGCAAAGGCATTGGTTCATGGCATATGGAAGTAGCTCTCACAAAAGACTAGAGGCCACTTAAGTATGAGGTTCAAATTACATCTGGCGTCCGAACGCCCATCAAGTAGAGACAGGAAGAACGTTTGAATGCCAGACAATGTTCGAACGTTATACCCAGACTGGCTACAGAGTGGTTGGCTTTCACTTGGACTTTGGCAGCCTTGCACTATTCTTTTACACTCTCTTGTCCCCTCCTCCTTGCCTATAAATACTCACATTGTGGGAGCTTCAAAGGAGAAGGTGAAGTAGTTATAGAATTAGTCTTAGACTTAAGCTTGTATTTTACTAGTATAGAATGAGATAGATCATCTTTTGGTTGCGGTGGAAACCCTCCAAAAGTGACTAGCTTTCTTCTACTTTTATTATTAGTTTCTTTCACTTTCATTGCTTGAGCTTCCTTCTTCCCTTAGAGGAATGAAATTCTTCCACTTTTCTAGAGCTTTACCAAAGTCGTGAAGGATAAAACATGATTCACTCATTCTTTGTTGAAGATCGGCTTCTCGTTTATTGTGTTTTACCTTGTAATTCGTCTGCTTTGAGGGATGAACATCACTCACTTTTCTAACTTTACCAAAGCAATGAAAAGTGAGTAGTTTCTCATTCACTATTTAGTAAAAGTTGATGGACATGTATAAATTATCCAAAAGTTATATTTGTGCATTTTATTTATGCTTAAATGCTTTATATTTCATTTGTGTATTAAATGATTGACTGCATTTAGCAAAATTAAGGTACTTTGTATAACCGTGAGTACTTTCTATAACATAGATGACTCTTGTATAGAAAGACTCATTGGTTCAAGGCAAGTACTCCGGCTAGATCTTCATGACTACCCTTCAATCTTCATCATTATTGTACTTCATTTAAAGGATGGAATATTAACGTCATAGTTGGATGCCTTGTAGAAACAATTACTTATTTGTAAACGGGTTGAGTCTCGGCACAGACAATTCTTGTAAACTTCTAGAAAGGCATCGGAACCATGCGCTTAATTCTCATAATCCACCTTTATTTTCTGATTAACTTGTTGTTGACACAAGAGTTAATTGAGTTACCAAGTATAAGTATAATAAACCGGATGATTAACTACATATTCAGATCCTCGAGCTAAAGGGTGACTGTTTACATTTGAATTTATCGTATATTTTGTCTAGAAAATCTTTTTGGAAAGAATGATATATTTGACCCAGGAAAATCTCTAAACATTATCACTATAAATCTCAAAGGTTACAATCACATGGTCTCTGTCACTGCTTACTTCACCCTATGGATTCGACTCCAGACTTAATCAGATTATTACTACAACTTGACCTCCTGCACTTGGGTGTACATATATCGGATCAAGTCATATGCAAGATACAACTTTTGTGTGGTTTAACTAGAGAACTTTGAAGAAGCAATTAAACTAGAAGTTTGGAAGAAATCAATGAAATAGGAGATTCAGGTAATTGAAAACAACAAGACGTAGGAGTTGGTGGAGAGACCTAAAGAAAAAGAAGTGATTGGTGCGAAGTGAATTTATAGAACAAAGCTTAATTTAGATGGGTGAATCCAAAAGAACAAAGTAAGGCTTGTTGCAAAGGAGTATTCTCAACAACGGGGTGTTGATTATCAAGAAACATTTACACCAATGGCTCGGTTTGACACAATTAGAGCACTTATTGCTTTGGTGGCTCAAAAGGGATGGTTCTTGTACCAACTTAATGTGAAGTCCGCATTCTTAAATGGAGCCTTGAAGGAAGAGGTGTATATAGATCAACCTCAAGGCTTTGTTGTCAAACTAAAAGAAGATAAAGTTTACAAATTAAAGAAGGCATTATATGGGTTGAAACAAACACCCCGAGCATGGTATAGCAAGATTGATTCCTACTTCAACAATAACGGCTTTCAAAGGAGCAAAAGCGAGCCAACCTTGTACGTCAAAAAACAAGGTAACACCGGTATTCTTATTGTTTCTCTTTATGTTGATGATCTTATTTTTCCCGGAAATGATAAAAAGATGCTTGAAAATTTTAAAATAGACATGATGAAAAAATATGAGATGAGTGATTTGGGTTTGTTGCATAACTTCTTGGGATTTGAAGTTTTTCAAAATGAAGATGGTGTTTTTATTTCCCAAATAAAGTATGCAAAAACTCTCCTTGAAAAGTTTAAAATGGTGAACTACAAGTCGGTTGCTACACCTTTGGTAGTGAATGAAAAGTTGACAAAAGAAGATGGAAGTAAAGATGTAGATGCTTCTCTTTATAGAGGTTTGATTGGAAGTTTGTTATATTTGACAACTACAAGGTCGGACATTATATTTGCTACAATTTTATTATCTCAGTTTATGCATAGTCTAAGTCAAACTCATTTTGGGTCGGCAAAAATAGTTTTGAGATACATCCAATGTACCCTTGATTATGGGATTTTGTTTGAAAAAAAAATGTGGATACAAAGTTGATTGAATTTTGTGAAAGTGATTGGGCTGGGTGTTTGAATGATATAAAGAGCACTTTCGGTTATGCATTTTCTCTTGGTTTGGGTGTCTTTTCATGGACATCTAAGAAACAACAAACCAAAGCACAATCATCCGCCGAGGTTGAATATGTTTTGGCATCATTGGCGACATCACAAACAATATGGCTAAGGAGAATCTTGGAAGATGTTGGTGAGAAGCAAGGAAAGCCTACTCCAATTTTGTGTGATAATAAGTCCGCGATAGCAATGACAAAGAATCCCATCCACCATAGCAGAGCCAAGACCATTTTAATCAAGCACCACTTTATCCGGGAGGCCGTGCAAGATGATGAGATTCAACTCAAGTATTACATGACAGAGGATCAAGTGCCGGACATCTTCACCAAAGCACTTCCAAAGGACAAGTTTCAATACTTTCGGGAAATGTTGGGTGTCACACAACAAAGCATTAAGGGAGAGTGTTAAAGTTAATACTTTGTTGTGTTATTTTGTATTTGGGCTAAAAAAATGTTATGTTTGTAATTGAGTCATAAAATGTTAGTGTCATGTTTTGTTGTATTTAATTGGGCCCAAAGATAAAAAAATCTAGAATTATTTGAGTGTGTCTAGATAAAGCTTGTAAGAGTCTTTTCTAGAATATATGAAATGTCTATATTTAGGTATGTCTAGATAAAGGTTGTTAGAGACTTTTCTAGAATATATGGAGTGTCTATATAAAGCTTGTTAGAGACTTTTCTTAGAGATATGCAATGAAAATATCTAGTTCCAGAACTTCCCATGTATTCCCTATTTGTATCTTATTTGTTTCTTTAATTAATCAAGGTTCAAGCCTAATCTAGGGCCAACAAGAGGAGTGATCATAATCGAGACCGCAAGCTACTGGGCCATGAGCATGATGATTAGGCTTTGGCAGTATCTTGTAATCCCTGATAGATGGATTCCATAGCAAGTTGATCTCTTGATCACACAACAATAACAAGCCATCACAGTTACCCCAAACTTTATATTGGTCATTAAGGAGACCAAACTCCTCTGGAAGCTTAAGTCTTTTGACCACAATTTCGCAGTCATCACTTAATGCGTCAAAATTGATGGATTTTATGGGTGAAGAAGGAGAGAGGGGCATGTCCATGAGAATAACATGGTGGTAGAATTCGCAATTGTCGGCTCTGGCAACACGATTAACATGGTTTGAAAAAAATTTGTGATCAATGATTAAGGAGCGCCATGGTTTCAATATGTACTTAAATCGGACCAGGGACTTCACTAGTTGTCTGAAGAGTATTTTGACAATGATATCATTTGGAATCGCCATGGTTTTGGCTGCTTTGCTTATCAAGTCAGAAGGCTCCTTCTCCTCCTCAATTTTTTTTCTGTATATCTTCATCTCCATAGTCAATACACTAAAAGAATGTATCTATGAATAAGGAGAAGAAGTCTATATCATTGCTCCTTTTAATTAATCTGATCTAATTTCAAGGGATTATGATAAAGTGAAAAAGTGTGATAATTTAGGGGATGTAAATGTAATTTATCCAAATTTATATTGGCCTTTGATATGAAGGATGTCGGTGTCTGACAGTGACTTAAATTCTGAATTCTTCTGGAAAAATTGGATAAATTTTTGCTAGTTATGTGTCGTTGTTATTCTTACTCTTTTGGAAGAGTTTAACTCCTATACTGCTACAATAACCAAAAGTTCAATCAAAAAAGAGTTTCTTTACGTCTTTTACCCCTCGCCATTACTCCCAATATTGTTCAAACAATCAGTGAAGTTTATTATGGTTCGATACTTCTTTTCATTGTCATTTTTATGAACTATCACTCTTACTCAACTCCTGGGTGACTTAGACATGCATAAGCCAAGTACTTCAATTCATTCATTATTGGATCCTAATGTATTATTTGAGATCATTCCTTAAAGCCTCACCTAAATTTTTAGCATGTTCATCTTATTTTCAATTTAGTATTTTACGTATAACAATACACATCGTTTCTTGATATCATTATCAAAATGTTGCAATGTCTTCCAAATTAATAGCCAATGCCACGAGTTACGGTTTCCAAGCAACCAACCACAATATAAAACTCATTCTAGGCATAGCGTGGGTGAACCAAACAAGTTTAATTCGTAATACTTTTGGGGCAGGATTCCTATCGACTTCCCATGCAGAGGCAGTAGAGAATTTACCATTGGCTGGAGGAGTCCACTTTTGACGCATTTATGTGGATGTTGTAGTAGTAATTCAAAGTGTGTTTGATTTATTTGTGTTTGTGGAAGAGAGAGATAGAGATGTTTTTCATCGAACTGATAACCTTTTTATTATTCTTTAACAAACGTGTACGAATGAGGTGGACTACACTTTTAGACCTAAAATTTAAATTTTATTTTGTTGACTTAATTTTTCAAGAGTTTTTTTGTAAGCTAAATTATAATGGATTTTAATCTTTTATCTATACTTCGTTATTGAACTCTAAACTTAGAACTTTTTGTAGTGACCTTCGGAAGTTGATACACGAAATTTGACTTAATTGTCAAAAAATTCAAAGGAAAAAATATTTAGTAAAAAAGTCCACCTAAGAAATAGAAAAACTTGAATACCTTTTTATTGTAAATAAGCTTTATATATAGTAGTTGATGTATATGTGCGTTACACGTGAACTAAAATTGTGAATTATAGTCTTGGTTTTTTTTTAAAAAAAAATTATTTTCAAATCATAACCCAGAGATACGTAAGTATTTTGATGTAATATTTATGCAACAAAATAATAAACGTAATAGGTGGCTAATTTGATTTCAGATTCTACAAAGGCAAAAGAATCACATGGAAATGCCATAGATTATTGTGGTCGATATTTTGATGATGTAGAAATTTATTTTGCATACAAAATTTTTGCCTTTTTGATATAAAGAAAATCATTTTTTTTTTACCAATGAAAGGACAATATAGTCGGAGCATGCATTTCCATCATAGTGACTACTTCTCACTGTCAATTTGAACCAAAAAATTAAATTACCTTGTTCGGAATTATTTGTACTTTATATTTTATTTGGTATTGTAACTATCATCCCAAATTGAAGCATTAATGTCTAGAATTTGTAGAGTCTCTAATTAAGCGAATGAGAGCATGAAAACAACTTATTTCTATGATCACAAAATAACAACTCCATTATGTATATTTTACACATACATTTCAATGCTTTAACTTGAATTGATTTTTTGGATGGTTATAATAAGCACAAAACAACCTAATTCTTATCTTAACTAATAAGAATGGTCATTAGATTTGCAAAGCATTAGCCTGTATGACACTCAAATTCATTAATAAGAAAGCAAATCAAGCTTGAAAGAGGAAAAACCATTATTCAAACCATAACCTAACAGTTCAACGGCAGGCTACAGTGGCCATTAGACCAATCACTGATCTTATAACAAATAGATAAACCTCATTAGACCAGTCAAATGTATTGATCGACACAAATTTTATAAAATATGACATCAATCCATTAAATATAATTTATAAATGATTAATACACACCACAAAATCCAGTACAACATGAGTTCAACTATACATGACTATAAGATACAAATTGAACATATTTTAAAATGACACAGACTTATTTCCAAACACCTTTTTAAGTTTAAATCCCAATTTGAGAATGAATCCTTTGTTTATATTCCAATTATATGTTCACATTGAGATTGTAAATTCAAATTCCGAATCTAGAGGAAAAAAAAAATCAAGAGGAATCCTCGTCCATGACTGCAAATAATAGGAAGTATGACCATTGGCAAAGTGCAAATCTTGAGAACCATTTCATTAACAGGAAAAAAAACTGTAAAAAGAAGGTGCTATTGAGATATTAGACCCATATGGTATCTTGTACACATTCCAAGAATTGGCGGAGCAAATAAGTCAACTTTACAGTGAATTACTATAGGACTAAGTATTTATTACATTAGTTATACTATATTATCATTGACACTTACAAAGAGTAAAACACCGAGCTGAGCTTCGGGAAGAAACCCACAAAGAGCATGTTTCATATGTTGTGCAAAACATCATTGTATGCTCACATAATGATTTGTTATAAACTTTGTCTCAGAAGCCATCATGCCATAATGGACATTTCAATAACAATTACGACTAAACATGAATCAGAATTTGAAAAAATAATTAGAAAAACATGGGTATCACCATAATTTCAAATACCATCAGTGCCTCAGGCTCGAATGGTATTCACACAACACCCTCGCAAAAAGTAAGTCAGTACTTTTATTCTTCTTTGCTATCCTTGAATCCCCAGAAAGTGGCAGTCAGGAGGACATGAGTCATTTGTAATTGGAGAGACAAGTAAGCGGATACAAACATGATGGCGAAAGTCTCATATAGGAATAAATCAGAAAGTAGAATACGGTCTGTCCTCACCTGAAAAATGACATATCACCCTGATAAACCAAGCAACACCAAGATAAAGTCGTTCAGAGATTGGATTCACAAAATAATGGTTCCATATCATCATGAATACAAAACCAAATAGGGTGCTAAATCTGGGCAATTGGCAGTCATACTAATGCTTTTAATGCTGCTTGGAATTGAAAGGCACTCGGAGCAAGGGAGCTTGGATTTCCCCTGGCTTGCCAAGCTGACCATAGGCAGCCATCTGATCATCCCCTCTACTCAGTTGCAAGAAAACAACACAACCTGTTTCTGCCAGAATATGATGGAGCTCGATCATCTTTTCCTCCCTGGATGGTTTGAACTGGGATCCAGAATGAGGGTTGAAAGATATGAGGTTGATCTTGCAAGGAATTCCCTAGACAAGATCAATCAACCTCTTTGCATCCTCAATACTGCAAACAAAAACCAATACATGTGATAATTATAATTTCAGACATCAAAATCAATTGGATGTCCTTGTACAAACGATGCAACTGATTCATAAAAAATGGTCGATACTGATTTTAAAAATATAACTACACTTTAGTTGATCTAATATTCACACATGAATGAAGAGACTTGGGCATAAAAGGCAGTAGTAAGGTGGTAACCATCAGCTAACAAATCCAGAAATGTCCAAAACCTCCAATTAAAAAAGTTAGAAACACTTTCAAAGAAAGCAGTACTATTTGTCAACATAGCAAACATAAAAGGCCCGATAAATCACAATAAAAGGCCCGATAGACAGAGTCCCAAAAGATTTTAAAACTTGATACCAGTAGAGAGAAAAGACCAATTAGGTAGTCCCGCCATTAGGACATCACTGTCGCTCTCTCTCTCTCCTCCCCCCCCCCCCCCCCAACCGGTTGTTCATCTCCTCTACCTAGGTCCTTAAATGGTGAAGGATATTGTTCATTAATCGGTGCATCATTCCTCCACCGCTACAGTTACAATTTTAGGAATTATGAGATGATGCTTCAAATAGTTTTAGGAACAAAGAATGTGTAGAGTCACAAGACAAGGGAGATCTATAGGGAGAGAGAAGGAGAGTAACGACTGAGAATAAGGAAACATTTGGGGGTGTGAATATGAGAGAGAGATAACTGAAAAATAGGGATCAAAAGGGAGATAGGGAGGTAGTGGAGGGGGTGATTAGGGTTAGTATGTTATTAAAGTTGAAGGATATGAATGACATAGTTGTGTTTTTGGAGGACAAAGATGGAAAAAAATATTTTTTAAATATGCTGATATTTTAAAGTAGTATAGATAGTAGTGCAATCATAAAAACTTCCCACCAGATTCTCTTGTAGGTAGTTTTCACATGAACTATTAGATCGAGATTCAATGGTTACTAGTTAAAGAAGATCAAAATTAAATAAAAACGCTTACCAAGTTAAACTATTAACTAAAAAATGAAATTTCATTTGTGAAATTGATTACAATTTTTATCATATTAAGAAAATATATTTAATTTCTTTAAATCAAATCGTTTCAAATAGATTAACTCCTTGACTTGAACTGGCTTATACCAATTGTTGCAACCCATCTAAGATTGATTTCTTTAATCCATTTGAAAATAAATTACCTCTACTAATTATGTATCCTTACTTCAGTGAATGCAATATGAACATACTTTCACATTCACCATCTGTAGGATCCATCTAGTAAATCATATAATTTTTTCTTTCATATTGTCCTTTCTCCAAGTGCATATTGATTCGTGTAATATTTTTATTTTTCTCCACTTATTTCATTATTTTTAGATTCAAATTGAGTTACAAATTTTTTTTGACCCGAAAATTGAATTACAAATTACACATCAAAAGTTGGTATAAACCAATTTGAGTTAATAGGTTCACCAATGTGAAAAGTTTTTTTTGTACTAATTTGGCTAAAAATATTTGATTCAAAAAGGTTAATTTAGTTTCTTTATATGATAAAGATTGTAATCAATATCATAATGAAATTTCGTTTTTAGTTAATAGCTTATCTTGGTAAGTTTTTTCATTTAATTTTGGACTTTTTCCCCCAAGTAACCGTTGGATCACGGTCTAACGGTTCATGTGAAAAGTATCCACAAGAGGGTCTAGTGTGAAACTTACATGATCGCGCTACTCTATATATATATATATATATATATATATATATATATATTAAAGTTCTAATAAAACAAAAACCTAAAATTTAGGAAAATCAAAATTCATATTAAATCCTCTCTACTCTTTTAGGGACATGTTTCAAAGTTTTTTGAAATTTTAAAATTTGACAATCAAAATTAAGGAATTTTAATTATCTTATCTTAGAAAATACTAAAATCAAAGAATTTTGATTTTAGATTTAATTTGGTCACACATATATGTGTGTTAATATATAAATATACTAGTAAATACCCGTGTCTGAAAGCACTATGTAACAAATAAAAAAATTGCAAGCAATTATTTGTGCTTGAAGATACTATATAATACAAAATACCGTCCATCAAAAAATTTGAGAAAAAAAATCACCGATCAATATGTGCCCAACATAACACAAACTTGTGAATTAAAAAATTGAAGAAAAAAAAGCACTAATCAATATAACTTGACTAATTTTTTTTAATGTTTGTTGATTCAACATCCACAATGTCAATTGGACTTTCTCTTCATTGGACTTTCTCTTCATTGAACTTTCTCTTCATCACTTTCATGAATGTTCTTCTATCAATACATATGTGTAACCGCAAATTGAAAGAATCCTCAACAACCTAGTTTTACAAAAAGAAAGAAAAAGAAATCTTAGTAAAATATATTATTCTTAAAATAAATACAGTTTTTTTGCAATAGTATAAGGATCGGGTTACCATATTACAATATCCCTAATTGGTGAAATCGTGTAGTATTTATTCTTTTCATTTCTTTAGCCAATTCACTCCAATCTTACAAATATTGAATGATAACGTAAACTTGACATGGTTATTTAAATTAAATGTGTATTGATAGGAGCATATGCCTTTTGATATATCATTATCGCTGGATGTCTAAAACATAATTAAAAGAATCATTGTTGTGAATATAAGCAATTATACAGCAATTACTTATTTGTTGAACTCGACCATTCATACCACTTGAGACTCTGTACTTCTTTTTCCTTTGCCAAAAGAACCTATTTTTTTTCCCTTCAAAGTTAGCAGTCGCCATAGTAGTTGCCTTTCTTTTTTCCTTTCAACAAAACAATAAGGATAAGTAAAAAACCACTATAGTTAAAAAAACATAATGCCTGTATCATTATATTTAAATTTGTTGTCACCATTTCAGATACGTGAAGATGATTGAGTTTCTGAAATATCATTACCACCCCCTATTCAATTTTGTCTTGGTTCAATAGCACTTTTAGTCCCTAAAGTATGTCCATGGAGGTTTGTAGGTTTTTATGGTCATCTAGTAGTGGCCCAAAGGAAGCAATCTTGGTTGCTGCTACGAAAATTATTTCTGAAATCAAATTTACCTTGGGTATGTGCAGGATACATCAATGAGATTGTGTCAAATAATGAAAAGATATGTGGTAATGACAGACCTATATGGCAGCTTAACAACTTTTGAAATGTGATTGATGACTGCGAGTTGAATGATTTAGGTTATAAGGGATATCCGTTCACTTGGTGGAATGGTTGTGCTCACCCGTATTTCGTTAAGGTCAATTGGATAGAGTGATGGCATCGACTTCTTGGATTTCTATATTTCCCAATTTCTCAGTTGACCATATCTTCTCTACATATTAAGATCATAACCAATTAGTTTTCAGAGATTTGTAAGTTTTTTGGACAGGACCATACAAGAAGGCAACATTTAAGATTTGAAGCAATGTGGGCTGATGATCCTACCTGTATGGATGTGATTCGTAATACTTGGCAGTCGAGGAGCTTAGAATCGAGTGAGCAACATTTTATTAATAATGTTTGTATTGTTGTGTTGGTTTGTTGAAATGGAAGAAAGAGAATTTCGGTAATATTTCCCATAGATTGCAAGAGAAAAGGGAATGTTTGGCTAAGTTAAACTGTGGAATTATCACTGATGAGCAGAGGGAGGAGCTAAGAGATATACATCACCAAATTCATAGGCTTCTAGAGGCAAAGGAGACAATGTGGAAGCAACGACCTAAAAATTTATGGCTTGTTGAGGGAGACAGGAATACAAAATATTTTCATGCTCAAAAAAAATAACCGAAGGCAGTAAAACATGATCAAGGGACTTCTGGATAGGGATAGCTAATGGACCACTAACAAACAGCAGATTGAGAACTTAGCAGTGGATTATTTTCAAAATCTCTTCTCCTCTAATGCTCTTTCCACTCAAAGTATCGACCAGGGTTTACAATGGGTTAAAGAAGGTGTTGCCAAGTATCATCTCAGATTTTCAGAGTGCTTTTATTCCTGGTCGAGTCATCACAGACAATGTACTGATTGCATATGAGCTAAATCACCAAATCAAATAGAAAAGAAGTGGGGGACGAGGACACATGTCATTGAAGCTAGACATGAGTAAGGCTTATTATAGAGTAGAATGGAAATTCTTGAAGCTATTATGGGCAAGTTAGGATTTGATTCCAGATGGATCAATATTCTGATGAGATGTGTTTAGTCCGTATCCTATTATTTTATTATAAATGGAGAAAAATTGGGTTTTATTAAGCCAACAAGAGGTTCACGACAAGGAGACCCTCTTTCTCCTTATCTTTTCCTCTTATGTTGTGAAGATTTGTCTAGTTTGTTGAAATCTAGAGAAGATTCAAACATGTTACAAGGATGTCAGCTAGTAGATTGGGTCCATCATTCTCTCATCTCTTCTTTGCAGATGATAGTCTTTTGTTTGCTCGAGCCACAAAAGAAAATGCCGAGGTCTTAAAGGAATGTCTTCAGCTTTATGAAAATGCATCAGGGCAAGTGATAAATTACTCTAAATCGACGTTGGTTGTAAGCAGGAATGTTCATCTAGATATGAAGCAAGAGTTATCTTCTATTTTTGGAGTCCAAATAGTTGAAAGTCATGATAAGTATCTTGGTCTTCCTTCCATTGTGGGGAAAACAAAGAAGGTTATCTTTGAAGTGATTAGGGAAAGAGTTTGGCAGAGTGTGCAAGGCTGGCAAGAGAAAATGCTATCCTTAGCAGGTAAAGAAATCCTAATTAAATTAGTGGCTCAAGCTATACCGTCTTATGCTATGTCATGTTTTAAACTCCCTTCATCTTTATGTAATGAGTTAAATAGCTTAATGTCCAAGTTTTGGTGGGGAGGTAATGAGTCTTCTAATAAGATACACTGGATGAGTTGGGACAAGCTATGTAGACCGAAATCTAAAGGGGGAATGGGATTCAGAAATATTGAAGCTTTTAATCACGATTTTCTTGCCAAGCAATTTTGGAGATTGTTCCATAATCCCTGCTCATTGGTTAGCCAATTTTTTAAAGGAAAGTATTTTCCTAGATCTTCTATTTTGGATGCTCAATTGAGAAGTAATCCCTCTTTTACTTGGTGGAGTATTCTTGCTACAAAGAAATATATTGTGTCTGGTATTCGCAAGAGAGTGGGAAATGGAATGGATATTCGAATAAAACATGATAACTGGATTCCCAGACCCAACGCATTCAAAGCTGTAAGTCCGTTGTTAGGGGTGGAGGATGAAGCCAGGGTAAACTCCTTGATTGATCCTACTACTAAATGCTGGAACATTAACTTGCTCCAAAGCCTTTTTCTAACTTTTGAGGTGGACGACATTCTGTATATTCCAATCTTTCAAGATCTCCCTATGCATCGTCAAGTATGGCATTTTTCTAAATCAAGATTGTTTACAGTTCAAAGTATGTATCACTTGATAATCGAGAATCTTCATAAATGAGAGTCTAGTAGTAGTGAGATTAAGTGGAGTGGGGAATTTATTTGGGCATTGAATGTTCCCAATAAAATTAAACACTTTATTTGGAGGGTTTTTCAAGATATTCTGCCAACCAATTACAACTTACATAGGAGAAGGATTCCAGTTGAAACTCAGTGTTATTTCTATGGATTTCATATGGAAATATTGGCTCATTTGTTCATAGAGTGTCCTTTTTCTTTGGAGGTTTGGAAGGTTTCAAGTATTAAGCTCCCCCTGTTGGCTGCCTATTCAGTCCAAGAATGGTTAATTAATGTAGCAGAAACATTGCCTACTACTGATGTAGGTTTAGTCATGACAATATCCTGGTTGATCTGGTTTAACAGGAACAAGGCACGTTCAGAGGAAGAAGTCCAATATCCAGGGGGAATTATGGATTTTTCTAAGTCTTATTTTCATCAGTTCTTGGCTGCGCAAGCAATTAAGAAGACAATTTCCAACCAGCGAAATCAGTCTGATACTGGTTCTTGGACTGCGCCACCTCTAGGCATTATCAAAATTAATGTTGATGGTTCAACCTGTAAGGACTCAAACTCTTCGTGTATTGGGATAGTTATTAGAGACTGTAATGGCTCTTTTGCTACTGGTATGTGTCAACATATTGGAAACTTGATGGCTGCTGCACATGTGGAGGCTATGGCTGTCTTATCTGGACTGAAATTTGCAATGGAATTAGGATATAAAAGAGTTATTCTTGAAGGTGATTCAAAAATAGTTATGGATGCCATTAATAGGAGGGAGCA